TGGGCGGGCCTCGGCGCTACCGAAAGGAGGCTCACGGCTAAGGCCCAGGAATGGACCCGTCGGCCTAGGATTTCGAAGGGGGCCCTACGGGGTTATTTACTGAGGCCGTTACCACTTGTGGGTGGGGACCACATATTAGGACGGACTTAGGTTTGGAAGGAGCTTCGGTACTGAGGCGCTGCAAAAAGCCCGGTACCCGACGAGAAGGCTCCCTTCATTGGAAACCTTTCGGAGGCCCAGACGGGCCCGGGTACAGGCTCGGGGGAGGCTTGGTACCGGGGCGCTGCAACATTCTCGGAGCCTCGACACACCGAGGCACTGAAGCCACGCCGCGTTGGGCCCAGCAAAGTATAAAGGCCCAACCGGGCCCGAAGGGGGGGGACTCTCACTTGCGCACGGGAATGGCGCACGGGCTGGCACAGGGGAGTGTGCTGGCCCCTCGCGCACTGGTTCCCGGACGGGGGAGCGTTTGGATCGCCCCTGCTGCGTACAGACCAGCGAAAGGGTACAATCGAACGCCGAGGGGACACGATCCTCGGACGCAAGGGGCGAATCAACAAGCTCCTTTTGGAGATCAGCACAGGGAACACTAAAGGGGCATGAGCTCTAATCAGGGGGATACGAGCTGAGAGTGGAAGCATACACGCTCGGACCGGCTGCGCGCAAGATCAGGAGCACACAGGAACTGATCATCTGTGCACGAGCTCGAACCGGCCGTGTACTGAGTGAGTCTGATCGCGCTGATCGCCTTGAGGATCAGCCCGTGCTTGAGGGCGCCTGCACAAGGGAAGGTGCATGAATCTGGCCCTCACCGAGGTCCAGATTCGTCCGCATTGCAGAACTGTGCACCCGCTAGCGAGAGAACGAGAATGCGCGTAGATCGAAGAGAGCCACGTACGGGATAGGGGGAGCTGATCCACATTCGAGAGAAGCGCAAGGATGCGCGCGAGAGAGAGCAACCATGCAAGGAGGAAGAACCGCGCGGGAGGTAAGAAGTTGCGAGGGAAAGGCTGTCACTAGCGGATGTACCTGGTCGCGATCGTGCACCAGGTTCATCTGGCTTGAAAGGAGAGAGGGAGCGCGGAGCCGCGTGAGCTGGGATGGTGCCCGCGCGAACATTCGCGCTCGGGAGGGCTTGAGAGCGAAGCGCACGCGCACGTGAGAGAGAAGGACAGAGCGGGGCCGCGCTGGTGAGAATGGCTGCCGCGCAAGCAGTCGCGCGGGGTGAAAGAAGTCGGGCGAGGGGAACGAAGCCGCGCGGGGAGAACGAGGTCGCACGGGACGGCGAGGAGAACGGCTGCTCGCGGAGAGGAAACCGTGCGGAGCTGGCGGAGCAGGTAGCGTGTCATAGCGCGCAGTCACGCGCGACCCGCGCGGACATGCGCGGGTGAGAGAGAGGGTGTGAGAGAGAGAGGAAGCTGCACAAAGCAGCGGAGCTGCGCGAAGAGAGGAGGAGCTGCAGCGCAGAG